TTTGTAATTTTTCTTTACTTTACTTTTAATAAAGATTGTGCAAAGCTACCGCACGTTAAAATAAAAAAAAAAAAAAATTATAATATTTTGATAAAAATAACTCTATTTAAATTAAAAAAAATAACCAACAAAAAAAATAGATAAAATAATAATAAATTTAATAAACTTACCTTTTATTACCTAAAAATTATTAATAATAATTAGCAATAAAGCAGTTTATAAAATATCACAATAATCTTCAACATTAACAGAAAATTTCTTAAAAAATGTTATTAAAAATATAAAAATAAAATCATCTTCTACTTCTTTTATTGATAAAGGAAAACTATTAATTTTATTAGTAAAATTTTTTAAATAAAAATTTAAACCTTTAATATTTCTAAAAATAATCTTAATAATAAGAATAAACAAATAGTATTTAATTGAAGTAAGAAACTGAAGTTCTAATTTATAATTTACTTTGTTTATTGTATTGCAAAAGTTTTTTACCTAAAAATATTAATAGAAAAAATAAAATAAAATATATAATATTTTTATATTATATTTTATATTTATTTATTAATACATTAATTCATAATTATCTAAAGATATTACAAAAAAAATTATTTATATTAGTTTCATATCTCATAATAAAATAAATAATAAACTTATACTTTACTTATTTTATTTAAATAACTTTATATTTTTTATCTATTAAAAATAAATTTATTATCAAATATATTCTTAATTTATCAATCAGGCTTATAGAAATTCCAATATTCACTACTAAATTAACTATCAAATTAACATTTTTTTTTTTGAAAAAGATCATCTAATATTTAATATTAATAAAAATTTGTAGTAAAGGTATATCAGAAATTAACTGATTCAAAAGATAAATAAAAATCATTTTATAGATTAGATGAAAATATTGTATAATATATTTAATATAATATAATTAGTCTGTTTTTTAATTTTATATTTTATTTGATTTTTATATATTTAAACTTAAAATTTTAATTATTATGATTATTATAAAATTTTATTATTAGTTTAATATGTCAAAAATATTATATCTAATTATTATATAATATCTAAATCAGTGATATATTTTAGACATATTTTTAGATTTTAATAGTTTTGGATAAGGTTTTAAAGATAAGAAAATTGTTCAAAACTTATCTAAAATTATTTAAAATTATCTAATTATCTAATACTGATCTAATTAGTAATATTATAGAATTGATAAATATAATAATATTATTATGATCATTATAAAATTAATATAAGCCACAATTTTTTTTAAATAGAAATCATTAATTTTTATCTAATTAATTTTAAAAATCTGTTTAATTTCTCATTATAAATTTTTTTTGATATTATATCTTTAGTAACATGAAGTTTAGATTTAATAGAATAAGCAAACAACTTATTTCTGTCTTACTAATTTATTTTAGATTTTTTTTTATTTGTAATATCTGAAATATATACTTTGCTTATATTTATTTATAAATTTGAAAGTTATAAAGTATTTTTACATATATTATAACACAAATGCTAAAGAAGTTCTTGTAAAATTAAAAAGTAATAGCTATTATATTTTAGAATTTTAAGTTTATTATAATATTAAAGAATGTGAATTAAATTAATAAAATAAAATTTGTTATCCTAGTTATATGTTTTAACTATATATTCTAACCTATTTTACATTATATCTCAAATGTCTTATCTATTCTATCTATATCTTATTAATATATTATTTATATTTTAACTATATTTTATCTTATAATAACACTACTTTATTTGCAATATTTAAAAAATTAGGTTTTATATTTAATAAATAAATAAAATATTTATTATTATACCTTTAATTTAATTATAGAAAAATTACATATTGAATTTAATTTTATATAGAAATTAGTTCATATAAAGGTCTTTAATTAACTTTGAATATTACTGTATAGTTCTGAAAATAAGCACCCTGTGATATGCTTCATTTATAGTAATTTATATATTTGTCACATAAAATTTATTATATTATTAGTCACATATATACTAATAAATTTATATATATTACATAATGCTTATTTTCAGATTATACAGTAGTTATAAAAAATAATATATTTATTTATCTATATATAATAAAATATAAATCTAAATATAACTAATAAATGATCTTTTAATTAGCTATTTAAAATATGATAATTTGATATTATCAGAATCATTTTAATAAGTATATAATTATGTTTAATTTTCAGATAAATAATAGTGATTCTACTTAAATTATTATAGCATCTTCTATTTTTTTACTATTATAGTCAACCCTTTCTAGATACATTCTCTCTAAATACATATACTATATATTTTCTTTTTAAATACACGCTTTTATTTAGTTCTAAGTATATAAAATTTATATAAAAATTTTCTCTTTAAATGCACATCCTCTTTAAATGCATATTTTTTAAAATTTTCATTATGATTTTAAGAGGATATATTTAAAAGGGTTGATTGTATATATATTATAATCAAAGAATTTTTATTCTATTTTATAAACACTTAAATTTTATTATCTTATATTAAAATTGAATTATTATCAAAATTTAATAATTTTATTTTAAATTAATTCTTTAAATAAACTTTTTATCTGATAAATAAGAAAATAATAAAATTTATTTTATGATACTTTGATTATAATTTATAGATTTTCTAAAAGTATTTTAGTTAAATATTTAATAAGTATTATTACATAAAAGAAAACATAGATGATAATGATCTAAAGAATGATATCAATCCCTAGAAAATTATATATATCTTCTATGTCATCTATAGTATATATTTCTTTTATACAATATATTTCTTTTATTAGGGGTGCAGACTTTATTATAGTGACGTAACTTTTATGATGCCACTTTGTTAATATAATAAGACATAACTTTTAATCATTATTATTGACTAGACTTTTGATGTAACTATTGACGTGACGTAACTATGTAATATGACGTGATTTTTGACGTAACTTGACGTGACAACATGATATAACAATTTAAAAATTTAGAATTTAAAATTTATTAATTGCAAGCAAACAAATTATACAAATTATTATTTATTTATATCAAAAAAAAAATCAATCCATTTCAACATTCAAAATATCATCAACTAAATTAACAGAATCAAAATCCATATTAATATTTTCTTCATCAATATTAGGTATATTTAATTCTTCACGTAATCCATTTTCTCCATCCTGAAAAATTGGATCTCGTAAATTCACAAAATCTTCTAAAACTAAATTAGTATTTGCTAATAAATCTTCATTAAATGTTAATCTACAATTATTATTATTATTATCTTCTTCATTCAATGATATAATATTACCTATTGCTGAAATATTTACTATTTTGCGTAATTCTGATTCCTTTAACTCTTTACCATAATAAATAAGTTCATTTCGTATATTTGTTATATAATAAGACCTTATTTTTACCATTCCTTCAAGTTTTGTAACATTAAGACGTGTATGCCTATCACTAATAAACCATTTCAAAATAGAAAAATTTCTTTCACAACTAGCTTGTGATGGAGAAATACTAAAAAGCTGAAATGCTAATTCAGGTAAATGACGTGGTTGACTTTTAATAGATCCCCACCATAATATAGGAGTATCTAAGCTTTGAACATAAGGTAAATCAAAAGGTTTTTTTTTAGCATCATAATACCAAAATTCTGAGATTAACTCTTTACATTCTTATTCAGAATGTCCTAAACCTTGCCAAAGAGTAGAAGCTGTTATTGCAGCATCTCAAAATGCTTCATTTTTAAGCCCTAGACCTAAATAAAAAAAAAAAAAATTAAAATATTTAATTAAATAAATATAAATTATAAATTATAATACTTATCACAATAAAATAGATGAAGATAATAATATAAAAGGTAAGATGGATGTTGAAATTCAATATATCGTTGATTAAAAATTTGAATAGCATAAGATTTAAATGGATTAGAATTAGGAATCCGATAAATTGCAATAGCCAATTTAATCATATATATAAAACAATTGGCTAAAGAGGCTGA